GGTTCAAATCCAGCCCGGGCCCACCAAACAACAATGACGGCTGCAACCAAAAAATAGCCAGGCGTTGTGGCAGGCACCTGTGGTCCCAGCTACCCAGTCTTCCAGACACTCCTACTGTTCCAAGATCCTCAAACCCAAGCCCCCACCTAGGTAAGGATTCTTTCTCCCACATCTCTCTTAATAGCCTAATTCCAATGTTTTCTAGCCCTGGACCCTCAGGAGAGCCTCCTGTCTGAGGTAGGAGACTCACTTGAGCCCAGGAGTTAGAGGTTGCTGTGAACTGTGATGCCACAGCACTCTACCTCTACCCAGGGGGACAGCTTGAGGCTCCTGTCTCAAAAAAAAAAAAAAAAGAGCTTATCAGGATTCCTTGTCTCCTTGCTGACTTTCAGTGGAGGCACTGAGGGAGGAGGATCAATAAGCTGTCTTGCTAGGGCCAGACTGAAGCTCCATGGAAAGACAGAAGGAGAAATAGGGCAGTTTGCAGACTCCTTTCCAAGTAGTTACTCTACATGTTCCTTCCTCCCCATCATTAAATATTAGCAAGATGGGGAGACCAAGCTGTGGATTGAAGGTAGAGTCTTAGCGCCCATAAAGCCCCCTACCCAGTGTCCCTCATTTTCATCCAAGCAGGGGAAGCTGAGGCCTCAAACCATTCCCCCCTTAAGGTCTCTGGATCTGAAATAAAGCCTGGTAGACCTGTGCCTCCACCCTTCCCTCTCAGGTGGCAGGAAGATAAGGAAGGAGAGGACTGTTTGGCCTGCCCCACTTCTCTCCAGTCCATATAGTTACCTTGGCCTTGCTTGGCAGCCAGCCCCTCCTCATACCTTTGCTGCCTCAGGGCTCCAGGACTGCATTTGTATCCCCTTTTCCAAGTCTTCTGTAGACCTAGTCAGATTGAGGGACATCTACTGGTCAGCTGCCACCATCAGGTCACCCTGACAATGCCATGTAACACCTGCAGTAGTACTATGTCTGGCCCTAAGTGTACATATGGCCTTTTAGCCTGAGTGTGTGTCTGTATATATATAGGTGACTGCTGAACTGGGACAAGGATCTGTGTATGTGTGTGAGTACGCATGTGGGCATGTATATGCATGTGCTTATGTATGTGTCTGTTGGTGAATTGATTCATTTAGCTAGTATTCATTGAGCCCTCTTTAGATGCCAGTCCCATTCTAGGTGCTGGGAATATTGTGTTGAACAAGGCAGAGAAGGTAGGACTGCTGGGTGTGAGTGGATGCTGTAAGTGTACCCATGAGGATGTGTTGTTAAATGTGTGGTTTGGCAGTGTGACTGTGTTTGTTCATGGGCTGCCTGGCCAGGGATTGTGTGACTGCCTGGACACAGGGATTAGGCTTGCAGGTTCACATCCTTTTATATGTGTCTGTGTATGAGGGGCAGTGGTCAAGGGAAGAGGTAGATTGCCAGGCCTAGACCCTACCCTGCTTGAAGGAAAGGTGTGGGTCAGAGAGACAGGAGAATCCACTCTTTGAGCTCAGGAAACAGTGGCCAGCGACTTCCTCTGAAGCCCTAGACCTGGTTCCTCCCCATTTGCCTCCAGTATCCCCTCTGGGGAAGGCCCCTGATGAACAGGAATTGCTGGGGTGGGGGAAAGGAGAGGACCTCCAAGGGCCCTGGCATATTGCTGAAGAACTTGTCTCAGCCTGACCATGTATCACCAGCCAGGGCTCCTGAACTCACAGATGCATGAATCCCATCCTAATCCTGTGTCTCTTCTTCTGGACCCCCAGCTCAACCAGACCCCAGTTATTGCCCTATGTTTCCTGACCCAACCTGATCTAGCCCAAGTTCCAGCCCCTTTCCTAGGACCTTAGTCTAGTCCAGCACAACCTCCAGCCCTTCTTTACCACTCTTAGCCCATCCAGCCTGAATTCTAACCCCTTCTTCAAAGTAGCATTCCAGCCCAGACAGCCCAGCCCAGCCCACCTCAGTCTGACCTCAAGTCCCTTTCCCTAAGGTAAGAAACCCTAAACTCTTCCCCCAATCTCTTTTTCACAAAGTGGAGCCTTTCTTGGGGATTGGTAGAAGTAGAGGAGAGGGTAAGGAATTAGGAACTATAGGCTGGATGAAGAAGGGCAAAGAAAGCAGGGAGATGAGGGCCAGGAGGTACTAAGGAAGGCCCAGGTGTGTTCTGGGCCAGGCTGAAAGGAAGGGAATGCATAAAAAGAAGTTTGAGTCAGCTGCCCCTTAGACCCAGGATAGATTTCAAAGACACTGATTTTATCCCTGTTGGCCCAAGCTCCCAATACCCAGAGTGTTTATAATGACTAATTGTCATCTATGTGGCACCATCTCATTCTTTCAGGAGTCCTCAGGCCCCCACCCATGGAAGCCATAGAAGAAATAAGTGGGAGACTACATACACTGTAGTTCTTAGCCTGGGAGAGGAGAAGTTGGATGGGAATGGAAGCTGACTCACACTTCCAGGTTCCTTCTTTAGCCTTGGGAAGGGGCTATTTTCCCACCAATTCCAGGTCCCATTTCCTGAGGTTGCTAAATCTTGTATTACTTCTCTCCCTGCTGCCCCACCTCTATACTACCAGCTCATTTCTCCAGCAGAAGAACCTAGGGACAGTTCCTGGAGAAAAGTCCCAGAGAGGCTTAGAGGAGAAGACTCTTTCCCTAGCACTGTCAATAAGTAAGGCTGCCTGGAGGAGGTAGGCATAATCTCACTTTTCTTTAATCTCCCTTTCCTCAGGTGCACAGAACCAGATTAATAACTTTGGTTCAGGCGCCAGCCCCATATGCCGGAGGTGGTGGGTTTAAACCCAACCCCGACCAAAAACCACAAAAAAAAAAAGGCAGCACCTGTGACTCAAGGAGTAGGGTGCTTGCCCCATATACCAGGTTGGCAGGTTCAAGCCCCCACCGGCCAAAAACTGCAAAAAAACCCAAAACAAAACAACAACAAAAAAACTTCGGTTCATGAAACACTCTCAGCATTGCTTCATGCACAATGCATGTTTATTTACTTATAATTCTGTCATAGGAATCCGTCAACATGAAAGCTAGGATGCTGGCAATAACTGAAGTCT